GATACAAAATCAATGTGCAAAAATTACAAGCATTCCTATATACCAATAATAGACAAACGCCCAAATCGTGAGTGATTCATCCCATTTACAACTGCTACAAAGAGAATAAAATATCTAGGAATACAACTAAAAAGGGATGTGAAGGAACTTTTCAAGGAGAACTACAAACCACTGCTCAAGGAAATAAGAGAGGACACAAATACATGAAAAAACATGCCATGCTCATGTGTAGGAAGAATCAATATTGTGAAAATGGCCATACTACCCAAAGTAATTTATACATTCAATGCTATTTCCATCAAGCTACCATTGACTTTCTTCACAGAATTGAAAAAAAAAAAACCAAACCATATGGAACCAAAAAAGAGCCCACATAGCCAAGCAATCCTAAGGAAAAAAAAAAATGCTGAAGGCATCATGCTACCTGACTTCAAACTGTGTTACAAGGCTACAGTAAACAAAATCAAAACAGCATGGTACTAGTACCAAAACAGGGATATAAACCAATGGAGCAGAACAGAAGCCTCAGAAATAACACCACACATCTACAACCAACTGATCTTTGACAAACCTGACAAAAACAAGCAATGGGGAAAGGATTCCCTGTTTAATAAATGGTGTTGGGGAAACTGGCTAGCCATATGCAGAAAACTGAAACTGGACGCCTTCCTTACACCTTATACAAAAATTAACTCATGATGGATTAAAGATTTAAACATAAGACGTAACACCATAAAAACCGTAGAAGAAAATCTAAGCAAAAGCATTCAGGACATAGGCATAGGCAAGGACTTCTTGACTAAAACACCAAAGGCAATGGCAACAAAAGCCAAAATAGACAAATGGGATCTAATTAAACTAAAGAGCTTCTGCACAGGAAAAGAAACTATCATTAGAGTGAACTGCCATCCAACAGAATGGGACAAAATTTTTGCAATCTACCCATCTGACAAAGGGCTAACATTCAGAATCTACAAAAACACTTAAATTTATAAGAAAAACACAAACAACTTCATCAAAAAGTGGATAAAGAATGTGAACAGACATTTCTCAAAAGAAGACATTTATGCAGCCAAAAAACATGAAAAAATGCTCATCACCACTGGTCATTAGAGAAATGCAAATTGAAACCACATTGAGATACCATCTCAAGCCAGTTAGAATGGCAAGCATTAAAAAATCTGGAGACAACAGATGCTGGAGAGGATGTGGAGAAATAGGAACACTTTTGGTGGGAGTGCAAATTGTTCAACAATTGTAGAAGACAGTGTGGCAATTCCTCAAGTATCTAGAACTAGAAATACCATTTGACCCAGGAATCCCATTACTGGGTATATATTCAAAGATTTATAAATCATTGTTATAAGGGCACATGCATGCATATGTTTACTGTGACACTGTTCACAAAAGCAAAGACTTGAAACCAACCCAAATGCCCATCAGTGATAGACTGGATAAAGAAAATGTGGCACATATACACCATGGACTACTATGCAGCCATAAAAAAGGATGAGTTCATGTCCTTTGCAGGGACATGAATGAAGCTGAAAACCGTCATTCTCAGCCAACTGACACAAGAACAGAAAACCAAGCACTGCATGTTCTCACTCATAAGTGGGTGTTGAACAATGAGAAAACATGGACACAGGGAGGGGAATATCACACACTGGGGTCTGTCAGGGGGCAGGGGACTAGGGGAAGGATAGAAAGGGTTGGGGGCTTAGAGGAGGTATAGCATTAGGAGAAATACCTAATGTAGATGTGCAGCAAACCACCGTGGCACGTGTCTACCTATGTAGCAAACATGCACATTCTGCATATGTATGAAGGAAGGAGGGAAGGAGGGAGGGAGGGAAGGAAGGAAAGAAAGGAAGGTCAACATCACCAATGAACAGGGAATTGCAATTCAAAACTGCAATGCAATACTACCTTCTGCAAGAATGGCCATAATCAAAAAATCAAAAACAGTGATGGTGGCATGTATGCCATGAACAGGGGACACTTCTACACTTCTGGTGGGAACGTAAACTAGTACAATTACTATGGAAAACAGTGTAAAGATTCCTTAAAAAGCTAAAAGTAGAACTACCTTTTGATCCAGCAATCACACTACTGGGTATCAACCCAGAGGAAAATAAGTCATTATACGATAAAGATACTTGCACACCCATGTTTACAGCAGCACAATTCACAACTGCAAAATCAAGGAACCAACCCAAATGTCCAGCAATCAACAAGTGGATAAAGTAACTGTGGCATATTTATACAATGAAATACTAGTCAGCCATAAAAAGGATTGAATTAACAGTATTTGCAGCAACTTGAATGAGATTGGAGACTATTATTCTAAGTGAAGGAACTCCAGAATGGAAAACCAAACATCTTATGTATTCACTGGAAGGTGGGAGCTAATCATAAGAATGGTACACTGGTTTTTGGGGACTCGGGGTGGGGAAGGCTGGGAGAGGGGTGAGGAATAAAGGACTGCAAATAGGGTGCAGTGTATACTGCTTGTGTGATGGGTACACCAGAATCTCACAAATCACCACTAAAGAATTTACTCTTGTAATCAAATACCACCTGTACCCCTATAACTTACATAAAAAAAATGGGTATAAAGCACCAGGAAAAAATATATAAAAATTTATTTATAAAAAATAAAACCTTTGAGAGAAAAAAGTCATAAATTTGAATAATGGTACTTATGAGTAGACTGCCTTGTGCCTAGTATGCTTATATATGTCCATTGGTTCACTTCTATCCATCCTCTCACTGAACAAGGTAGGAGAGAGATACATACATACTTTTTGTTTTGTTTTGTTTTTTGAGACAGGGTCTCACTCTGTTGCCTATGCTGAAGTGAAGTGGTGCAATCTCGGCTCATTGTAGCCTCAACCTCCTGGGCTCAAGTGATCCTCTTACCTTAGCCTCTAGGTGGCTAGGACAACAGGCATGCTACCACTGCCAGCTAATTTCTGTATTTTTTGTAGAGATGAGTTTTCACCATGTTGTCCAGGCTGGTCTTGAACTCCTGAGCTCAAGTGAGTCACCCACCTTGGCATACATACTTCTGGATAATTTTATTTAAAATAATTTTCTTGAGGGAATGAAAAAATTTAGCTAGAAATTAAAATATCTATTCAGCAAAATCATTTGGGTTGCCTTTTATACCACTTTACTTTGAAGACATAAGCAATATCTTATGTGTGCCATGCTAATTTTCCCACTTCTTTGAATATTTGCTGAGTTATACATTATTTTTTTGTAAAGTTTTTCTTAGGGTTCTAATACTCAGTGCCAAACTCTTTATAAGTTTAAAATCAAGATTACTTAGGGTCTACCTTTTAAAACAGAAGCATGCCAAAAAAAAAAAAAAAAAAAAAAAGGGATTCCATCCCAGAATGTCCAGAACAATAAAGGCTGCAGAGAAACTACATGAAGTGAGGCGTTAAGAGAAGCTATTTCAGGCCCTTTAACTTGAGGGCAGATCATATGCATTCAAACTAAAAGATTTTTTTCAGGTGTAGAGATTTTTAACAGTAGAAGCTGATGATCAATGTAGGGGAAAAAGAGCATGCTTTATCACCTTTTTTGGACCAGACGAATTCGACCTTTCATTTTTCATGAAGTCTTTAAATAAATGCATATATTCCATTTTTCTCTTCCACATCCCCTAACAATTATTTTGATTTCCATGATTTAAGTTGCTTTCTGAAAAGCTTTTATGAAGAGTTGAAAAGAACTGGGAACCATACTGTTCAATGAGTGATAGAAATATTCATAGGCCATGTACAACATAATAAAAGAAAATTGATCTGTTCACTTAAAAAATATAACCCCATTCCTTTTTTCTGGTCATTAAGCATCAGTATTGTGGCTGTCTATATTTGAGGGCTTTTGGTCCCTCATCAAATAGAACACAATTTCTCTAGGCAAGGCATGGCATCTTCTACCACTTTTTGATACAGTATCATCTATAATATTGAAAGTGCAAAAGTCCATTTGTAATACACTTTAATATATTAAAGAAGTATTTGATAGATAAGATACAAACATTACTTATTCTTAGTTTGAAATGCCTAAAATAGAACATGTACACTCATGTCAACAATATTATTTGAGACAAAGTCTTGCTCTGTTGTCCAGGCAAAAGAGCACCATCTTGGCTCACTGCAACCTCACCCTCCCAGGTTCAAGCAATTCTCATGCCTCAGCCTCCCAAGTAGCTGGGATTACAGGCATGTGCCACCAGGCCTGGCTATTTTTTATATTTTTAATAGAGACTGGGTTTCACCATGTTGGCCAGGCTGGTCTTGAATTCCTGACCTCAGGTGATCCGCCCCTACCTCGGCTTACCAAACTACTGGGATTACAGGCATGAGCCACTGTGCCTGGCCAACAAGATATTAATCTTAAGATACGTATTGTGACTAAGGAGGGTACCATCAGAGTAGGCAAGCATTCATCTTATCTAAATTTGCCTCAGGGTTCCTTAGCTTTGGGTGCAGAGAAGCAGTCAATGTGAGTGAACTGGAGAAATTAAAGTGAAATGAGAGCTAGGGAGAAAAGATAGATATTGACTGTGAAGGCAGATTTAGGGAAGTGGGTCAAGAAACGGTGAACAGAGTAGATTAAAAAGAAATGGAGTACCGCTGAGGGTAGACAGGCTCGGAATGGTGAAGCTATGGCTCAGAGGAATTTTTAAGACCAATCTGAGTGTATTTTTACATGAAGAGAATATGGATAATCACTGTATACCTTGTTCAGGCTTTATGGAAGACACAGGATTTCATATATATTCATTGGCTACATTTCTAGGGTCACAATACAACCTAGGGAACATTTTAGTTAAGTCTCCATAAGACGTAGATAGAAATGTTGCATGCAATGATATGTCATGATTTTGAATATGAAGTTAAATGACTGAAAATACTATCTCAGAAGTTCCTATTAATTTGAATTAAATAATTAATACCTAAAATATTTAAATATGTACTCACCCAACAGACAGGAAAGGTTCCTTTGATTCAAGTCTATGAAAAAATATGAAAATTTTCTTTTAATATAACAATTTGCTATATATTAAAAATTGCTTTTACATGAACCTGATAGAATTATTATACTTGTTTGGATGAAAATATAGTTTAGCACCAGTAAAAAAGCTATGAATAATATATTAAGACCTAATCTGGACTAAGTGAATTTGCAGCTGGATTAATGCAGAAACTAAATAAAATGAGAGAGTCTTGAAATGAGGACGTAGCATTTAAGTGCTAGGTTAAGATGATTATGTTATTAGTCTAATTCTGATTTACACTCTCTGTCTCTACTCATTTTCTTTATTCCTGGTAATTTTTAGAAGTTTTTATACATCTGTTTGTGGTTGTTGTAATAGTGAAATAAATTGTAATGTACGTGTTACATGTTGGCTGAATAACTGATTTATTCAGAACACAGAAGCAGCGTACCATATATAGTTATTTATTGGTCTTAACACCCCTTGGGGTGGGGATAGTGTCAGGTCACAGATTTGGGTCATTCTGCCTCCTTTGTGTCTTCTAAAAACTGGGTATTGGCCGGGCGCAATGGCTCAAGCCTGTAATCCCAGCACTTTGGGAGGCCGAGGCGGGTGGATCACGAGGTCAAGAGATTGAGAACGTCCTGGTCAACATAGTGAAACCCCGTTTCTACTAAAAATACAGAAAATTAGCTGGGCATGGTGGCGCGTGCCTGTAATCCCAGCTACTCAGGAGGCTGGGGCAGGAGAATTGCCTGAACCCAGGAGGCGGAGGTTGCGGTGAGCCGAGATCATGCCATTGCACTCCAGCCTGGGTAACAAGAGCGAAACTCTGTCTCAAAAACAAAACAAAACAAAACAATACTGGGTATTTTCTGTACCTCAGTATCTCAAAGGGAAAGTCTAATCTTGAGGGTTGTAGTTCACTTGAGAAAGCCACTTTAAAACATACTCTGTGCCTTTTTTTTTTCTCAGTATAAAATGGGGTAGGCTTACTTCCAGCTACTTTGCTGATTTCATAAATTAGCTTTCCATTTTTTAAAATAAAATGTAAGTGAATCAGGAAAGAATCCACTTGTAAATAGTTCCTAGTTAATAATTAAGGAAATCTGTCAGTAAATGTATTTTGGCCACACTAGTTTCATTACAGGTGTCTTTTGAAACAATTAAGGGTTAAATGTAGGCAAATTGAAGATACTTTTAACTAAATTCTGGTGTTTAAGATTTTTAAAAAGCACAATTGAAACGACTATCTTAGAATTAGGCTAAAAATTTGTTTTTATAAATATGAGTCTAAACAGTGAAGCAATAATTACTATTTTGTCTCTATTTCATTCTGTGTATTTAAAAAATTGCTTATGAGAAATATGATTTGGTGTATTTATAGGCAGAGCTGACATGCATCTCTGCCACATATCATACTGCTTTGAGTGAATAATAATAATAGCAGGAAAGGGCCTTTTTTAGGGAGCAAATGCCTTAGCAATCCCTTTGGACAGCTCTAGGTAGGGTAGAAACAGATAAAACCAATAGCTGGTGCTAAGAGTTTAGAGAGGTTTATTTACGTCACCTTTTCTTTTCTGAATTCTGGTATTATTCACATCTCGAACTGTAGGTACATTAATTGACCTACAGTGTTTGTTTTTCTCATACATTTGTGATCTACATAAGCAAACAGAACAAGGGAGGGAAAAGCTGAAGATAAGTAATGAAAAATGTTTGGATGTATTTGCTTTATAAGACATGACCAGTGCCAAGCGATCAAAAGAAAATTACTTTGAAGAAATGAGGGGGATTCTACATAATATGATGCAGGAGATTGTTCACATATTAGACTATCAGCACCATAATGATACTACTTTATTTTCCATCTGATAATTCTTGTAATAAAAAGAGCATGTGGGCATTAATGGGATCCCTTCTCTCTGTATTTGCCAATAATTTCAGCCTAACATTTATCAGATGGTAGTGCATGTATGTGATTTGCTTGTGTGAAGTGCTACCCTCCAGCCTCCTATGTTCCCCATTTTCTGCACACTGCATTATCCTCCTTGTCTCTCACTGCCGTGTGAATAATATAATGGGAATATTTTAAAACATTTTATATCTTTCTCTTCTCTCTTTTTCAGCCTCCATGTCTCATTACTTAGCAAGTCCCATCAATTTTTCCTTTGGGACTCTCATGACCCCCTCTCTGCATTCAATTTCCAGGCTGCTTTTCACTAGTTACCCAAGCCTAGCTAGTGTCTCCAAAATTCTTTATTCAAAGTCACTTCAACTTTACACACTGCTCTCACACTAAGCTTCCATCAATGCTGCCACTCACTCCCTTTGGGCAAATACTGCATTGCACCAGTTTAGGGTGGCATGAGCAACCTGAATAAAAGTAAAGGCCATCACTTTTGATTTTCCCTCTGCAGTTATCAAAATGCTTAGTTCTGAATTTGTTTGAAGTAGTAGTTATTGATTTCTCTCTCTCTTTTTTGAAGGTTTCAGACAAGCAGCCATTGGATTACAGCATACAGGGACATATGTTGTCCTACTGCCCCCTGTGGTTAATATGATTAGTCTGACTTGTTAGTTATTAATAGTTGTCCCCTTCTCCTACCACTTTAAGCCCACTTCAACCAACTCATTCCAAATGCTCAAGAGAAGACTTTAGAAAAAAATTCAAAGTTTTCAAAATAATGTTGGATTGAAAATTCTGACTGATGTTCTATAAACCAGGAGTTTGCAAACTCTGGGCAAATCCTGCTCACCCTCTGATTGTGTATAGCCCCAAGCTAAGAATGATTTTTACACTTTAAAGAAGCTGGAAAATATCAAAAGAAGAAGAGTAATATTTGTGACACATGAAAATTACATGAAATTCCAACTTCGGTGTCCATAAATAAAGCTTACTGAAACAGAGCCCTGTGACTTCATTTACATATTGTTTAAGGCTGCTTTTGTGCTATGGCAATGAATTGAGCAGTTGTGCCAGAAACTGCATGTCTAAAATCCTAAAATATTTACTACATGGTCTTTACAGAAAAAGTATGCCAATGTGTGAGATACAGTTATTTTGTTGGAAGGAATTGGAAACAACCTTGTAAAATAGGCTTTCTTTACTTTCAATACATATCAAGGTATTTTTTTCCCAGATTTAGAAATTCAGAATAACTTGAATTTTTTTCTCTACGTCACCATTTCAACCACTGATCCTACTGACATATTCACCTAAAATATTGCTTTTATGTCACCACTTTTCTTGATGATCTCATTAACCATAAGATGGTACCCAAATTTTAAGCTCTTCACAAACATGCCCAAACCAGTTTTCCATGTTATTCTTTACTGCTTCTCTAACACTTCATTCCAGAAAAACTAAATACTGTCCAGACACATCTGATTTGGCTCTGCTTTGGTACACTTAGCATTCATTATATTTCTACACAAGAATGCTGTTTTCCCCCATGCATGATCTATTTATCATTTAACTTTATCTCAGTGTAACTCCCTTCTTAAAGTCGATCCTGATACCTTTGTTTTATAGGGACATGCCCATCTCTGAGGTATCATCATCACTATGACATATTCTCTGAACAATATTATTCAATTAACTGGTACTGTTTACAATAGCAAATACCTGGAACCAACCCAAATGCCCATCAATGATAGACTGGACAAAGAAAATGTGGCACATATACACCATGGAACTATGCAGCCATAAAAAAAGATGAGTTCCTGTCCTTTGTAGGGACATGGATGCATCTGGAAGCCATCATTCTCAGCAAAGTGACACAAGAACAGAAAACCAAACACCGCATATTCTTACTCATAGGCAGGTGTTGAACAATGAGAACACATGGGCACAGGGAGGGGAACATCACCTACTGGGGTCTGTTGAGAGGTGGGAGAGTAGGGGAAGGACAGCTAGGGGCAGGGAGGTTGGGGAGGGATAACACTGGGAGAAATGCCTGATGTAGGTGACGGGGGCTGGAGACAGTAAACCACCGTGGCATGTGTGTACCTATGCAACATTCCTGCAAGATCTACACATGTACCCCAGAACTTAAAGTATAATAAAAAATAATTTTTATATTCATTATCTGAATATTTTGGATCTCTTGGGTTAAGAAAATATATCAAAATTAAACAAAACTGAACCTAGAGTCTCATAAGACTGGTAAGAATATTAAACCTGTACTGTGCTTAGACAAGAGACTTCCAACAGTTCTGTGTTAAGCCTCCTGATGGGTCTAGAGGGGAGAGGGAGAGTGTTGCTAATGGTTCATAAACTGAACTGAAAGAAAAGATTATTGGTCATTGGTTCCTCCAAGCCATAGATGATAAGTCTAAGGTACTGGGACTCCCAATCGTCTTCTGTGGTGAAATAGAGCAGGAAATTTTGGTGACGTGCCACCATCAGGCCATTCTACCCTGTGTCTTATCCTCAAAATGATGACACACTGCAGAGCAGAGACAAGTGGCTCGTGTTGAATGATGTTCTGCTTTGAAACCAACTGCTCAGTTGTGGTTCATTACATTGAGGCAGCTTCCCTAGACTTGGAATGACTCAGGGACTCTGAATAACCTCATTTATCTCAATTACATAGCAAACATCATACCCGACTCAATAAGTTTGGGAGAAGATTATGAGATTTTGTATTCAAAACATCTAGCACAGTTCTTGGCAGAGTGGATCCTGATGGTCATGACTATACCAAAGACAGGTTGTTAACTCTGAAGTCTGAAACTGCTTGGAATTTATGAATAGATCATTTTAGTAGTATTGGCTAACTGATTGCTTGTTATTTATGGAATAATATAGCATGATATTTTACAAATAATATACTTCTTAAGGATTATAGAAATCTTATTTTGATATTTAAAATTTAGTCTATATATCTCATCCTTAACTATTTGTAATCTAAATACATCCATATGACATTTTAATCATTCCAAGACATTCTGATTTAATAAAGACTGGATGAAGAAAATGTGGCACATATATACCATGGAATACTATGCAAC